GCATGTGCCCGTTTCTGTGTTTTTGCCTCATTTTTGAAATCATAATGTCTCTTTTTCTGCTGAGTGCCTGTGCTGGAGCCGCTGGCTGTGGATAGGAGCGGAGCAGCCTGGCATGAGCAGTGGAATAATCACTCTTTAACAAGCAAGAATGTAGTACAGCAATGGGTGTGTCTTTGTTAGCAGCCACTATAATAATAAAATCAAAGTATTGCTGCTGAAATCCAACTTTAATCAATATTTCAACATCTTGCTCTCATGCAAACATCATTTCAGGCTCTAGAAGTTGTTTCCAGCTTGATTTATTCCACGTCTTGTACATCCCTTGGTGCTACCTGCACAGCACAGGCATCGCCGGCTGCCGCAGCCTCTGTATCTCAGGCCATGCTCCGTCCTGGCAGAGACCTTCAAGTTGTTTCAGGCTGGTTGGCTCATTTGCAGCTTGTTTTTGATGCCGTTTCTCTCCCCGACTCAAAAGCTGTTGACAATCCCACCCCTTGCTTCTGCCCAGTGAAGGCTGCCCTGCTTGGAGCCCATCTCCCTTGGTGGCCCCGGGCAGCCCCGCGCTGGTGTCAGTGGGATTGCAGCAAAAGGGTGATCACGGACTGTAGTAAAATCTGCTCTATTTATGAAATTATTGTTGAAAAACATCAGTCATCTGCAGGCTAATGTTTGCCCACTGCCTGGCACTGTTTTCTGTCTTTGCAGCATATACTGGGTGTTTAGGAGGGATGTCCAGACATACACATTTCTTAGATTTCAGAGATTCTTGTTGAGCTTTCACCGCAAATCATGAATCAAATGTGAGGCTGCCTCTCCCAGATTTGCTGTGGGAATGTCTGTGTGCCCAGTCCTGTCTTTTCAGTCTGCCTGCTGGTTCTCCTGGGTTTGTTCATCCCCACTCTGTCCCAGTTCGCCCACCTTTAGTGGGGTTTGTACATCATAAAGCTCATCCGCTGTTTCTCGCCCTCAACCCTCAGAATGTCCTCTGAAGAGCTGCATTTGAAAATAAGCAAAGAAATGAAAGTATAATTAACCTGGAGATGCTGGAGGGGCTGGTGTGGTTTAATCCCAGGTGGCAGCTCAGCACCAGGCAGCTGCTTGCCCACTCCCCATGCAGCAGGATAGGGACAAGAGAATTGGAAGGGTCAAAGCGAGCAAACTCATGGGTTGAGATAAGAATGGTTTAATAATTGAAATAAAAATAAAATATGATAGCAGTATGAATAATAAGAAAAATAGTTCTAATGAAAAGGCAAATAACAAAGAGAGAGAAATAAACCCCAAGAAAGACAAGTGATGCAAATGAAAATTGCTCAGCACCGAGTGTCCGGTGCCCAGCCAGTCCCCCAGCAGTGGCCCCCGGCCAACCTCCCCCCAGTTTTACTGCTGAGCGTGACAGTATATGGCCTGGAATATCCCTTGGGGTCAGTTGTCCTGGCTGTGCCCCCTCCCAGCTCCTCCTGTGCCCCCACTCTGCTCGCTGGTGGGCTGGGCTGAGGAGCAGAAAGGGCCTTGGTGCTGTGTGAGAGCTGCTCAGCAGTAACTAAAACACCCCGCAGTTGTCTACACTGTGTCCAGCACAAATCCAAACACAGCCCCATACCAGCTACCGTGAGGAAAGTCAAGACAATTAACTCTGTCCAGGCCAAAACCAGCATGGAGAGAGGGAGTAAATTTACCCCTAACAAACTCTTGAGCTGGAACGACTTGATGATACATATAGCAACTGCCACAATTCCTTAATGACCAATACTCAGGATTCCTTCAGTAGTTTTGGTTTCCCTGGGTAGAAGTAGCCTAACTGGGATCCTGTCCAGTCCAATCCCGATTGGAAAAAATCACCACACTTCCCCCAGATTTTCAAAATTTCCAATTTTGAAAAAGCAAATCATTGCAAGGGGAATGGCTGACCTGAAATGAGTGCTGCAGCCAGGCTCCCCACAGCCCCGTTGGTTGGGTTCACTGCCCAGCTCCCATGGGGTTTTTAATCCTCTCTTGCCCTGAGTGGGCTCCAGCATCAGCCCATCCTTTGGTGGCCTTGGCACCCATCCTGAGAACATCCTGCAAGCACCAAACCTTCTCCTTTGCCTACAGTCTCCTCCTGCAGAGGAGAAATTCTGTTGTCATCCACGGCAACATCCTGGCTTGATGCTTTTTGGTAACGTTCATCCCAGCCTTGAGTTTTGTAGACTGTATGGTTTTTTTTTTGCCTAAAGCTATAAGTAGGCAGCTCCATGCAAAGCAGGTGGTTAAACTTGTCTGTCCTGGTGATGAGGATCCCGAAGGGCTTGTGTCTGAATGAGACACGAGGGTTTTGGTCACACAAGACAGAGCTGGGAGCTGCCGGTAAGACGTGATGTGTGTGGAGATGGTGGCAGCCAAGCTGTGCAGTGGATGGAGTCACAAGTGTCCTTCAGTCCTGCAAACTGAACTGTGAACTGGAGAGGGGGTCTGGGGGTTGGTGTGGTCCTACTCCTGATCCTACCCAGCTCCCTCTTTCTGGAGGCTCTCCCCTAGCTGAGGAGAAGGCTGGGTTCCTGGGGAAGCACCACAGAACAGTCTGACTTTGTCATAGTGAAAATAAGCTAAAACCAGCATACTCTTATTCCTGATATTTACCCATCCCCTGCCAAGCAGCGTGAGGGGAGCACCCCCTGCCTGTGCAGTTTTCACTGCATGCACCCCTCTGACCTCTCAGATAAACGAGGGAAATGAGAAGTGACCACTGAGTAGACCCTGCTGGGCCAATACCTGTGGCCTCTAAAATAACACCCAATTGCAAAGTGGCTGCTGAAGGATCGTTTTTCCCCAGTCTTTCGTTTTCTCCTGTTCCACAAGATGGCATTGCAATCTAATCGCCTTCCTCCAGCCCCAGGTAGATGCTCTCCTCTCCCATTTGCCTTCTGAGGGAGGTTTTTGGAGATGCTGACAGCAGGGTGTTGAC